CTACTTTTCCAGTGCCGAATTCATGGTCTGAGCATCCAGAATCAATCGCAATACAGTAAGGCAGTCACAGAACAATTTTGGATGCAAAAGAGTCAACAGAGGGTTAGAAATGAGCAGAAGAAGGTAGGGGAGAGATGGCTATGGCTGTCATGCAATCTGCGATTTTCACATCCAGTCACTGACAGCCAGATAGACCATAATTACCGACTAATCTAATTCTATCTGAATCGCTATACAGGTAGGTGCATGGAACGGACTCACTTTCAAAGTATCTGGCAGAGGTTGATGAAGATCTGGCTATGGCAGACTGAAACCTTCATCTCGCCAATTTCCTCTAGAAGTTCTCCTTCTCTGTTCCACGCACAGAACCTCTTCAAACTTGTTGATCCCCTTCAGGATACTGAAGCGCTTCACTCCCTTTAGTCAGATTCATTGAATCTGACCCTGTGGCACCCCAACACGCCAACTGATAAAATCTCGCCACAGGACCTGAGATCCGCTGATACTATAAATAGCCCAAGATGGGGTTATTTCCTCCTGAGATTGACACAGACTGTCAATCTCCCTCAACGCTGCTCAGGGTTGAAGCCGCTCAGCAATCCCTGGAGTCTTCAGGGGTATTTCGCCACTCAGGGGTACTTCGCAACACTACCCTCAGGGTTGGCTATGGCGAATTGGCCCAGTTCTCGCCACTTTCAAACAAGCGCCCTGACAGGCTCAGTGCGCTTGCTCAGTGCCAGCACTGAACTCCTGAATCCACCGCTTGAAGTCTTCGTCCCTGCTGACTCAGTACTGGGGAAGATGAATCACCATGAAGCTCTTGCCAGTATGTCGCTAGATCAAGAAGATACCCGTTGCACTCAACCCTCAGTGCTCCAATTCCAATCTCGCTCGGATACCAACTGCTATGAACTTGGTTGTCTGACGATTTTTACTGCCACTCACACACAGACAGTCTCATACACGCCCATACATGCATAAGAGAAGGGGGAGAGGAGACAGAGTCCAAACTACACACAGATCATAATAGATAGAGGAAGCACAACCATGCACAAATGGGGAGAGGACACACAATGTTTCTCACTCTCTGACGATACTCCCAACAACCAATCACAAGAAAGAACCTGCGAGGATAACAATTGGAATACACACTGATGATGAGCCAATTAACCAGAAATCGTTACAGA